TAATGTTTAATATTTGCATCTCTAAAAAATCTAATAAACAATCTGTGCACTTTTTGGGGTCCCCAGACACGTCTTCATTGTGTTCTGTGCGAATCGCCGGTCATTTCTCCATGTGCATGTGTTGTATTTTTATGCATAATCTATATATACAATCAAGAAAAAGATGCAACAAGAATAAGTGTTTTATCATGTCCCGAGACTAACAGTGTTCCAGTACAGTGACTGAATGATAAAACTACAAATAATTCAATAACAATAATCATAGTTGTCGGCGCAATAGCTTAGTGGTTAGTGCGTCGACATATGGTGCAGTAGCACGTCAGGGCGTCCCGTGTTCGAATCCCAGCTCGAGGACATTTCTCTACCCTTCCCCCCTCTTCCTCTTCCTCTCTCTCCAACTGCGTTTCCTGTCTAAATACTGTCCTATCTAACAAAAGGCAAAAAAAAATAAAAAATAAATAGTAATAATAATCAATCATAAAGTCACAAGTAGTATAGTTTCTTAAACCTGATACTTTTAACATTATTTTAATAACAACAAACCCAATAATAATAAATAATAAAAATAATAATAACAACAATAATAATTAATAATAATATTAATAAATATTAATAATAAAAATTATAATAATAATAAATTATAATTATAATATTCATAAATAATATTAATAACTAATAATAATAATAATAACAACCACAACAACAACAAAGAATATTAATAATAATAATAAATAATAATAATAATAAATTATAATTATAAAATTAATAAATAATAATAATAATAATAATAATAACAACAACAAAGAATATTAATAATAATAATAAATAATAATAATAATAATAATAAATTATAATTATAATTATAATATTAATAAATAATAATAATAACAACAACAACAACAACAACAACAACAACAATATTAACTAATAATAATTACTAATACTACTACTAATAATAAATAATAATACTAATAATAATAATAATAATAATTACTATTATTATTATTAATAATAATAATAATAATAAATAATAATAAACTATATTTATAAAATTAATAAATAATAATAATAATAATAAATAATAATAAATTATAATTATAATATTAATTAATAATAATAACAACAACAACAACAAATCCATTAATCATAATAAAAAATAATAATAATAGAAATTTGCTGGCGTCTCTGAAAGTGCCCATCATTATATCATCAGTTTATATTAGTCACCATCTCAAATACTGTATTTTATATTTCTTTACTAATTAAAACCTGATTAATTATATTTCTTTATTAACTAAAACCTAATTAAACCTGATGCTTTTAACATCATTCTACAAATCACAGGCATCAAAAACACAGGCACATGATCAATTATAATACAAGCTCTACATTGCACATATCCTGTGATGTGACTATAGTTAATGATCACACTGCCATATCCGTGCTGAATCCATATATTGTGCTGCCAAATATCAAAAATAAATCAAATTTAGTGTATATATTTAGTGATTTACATGCTGAAACGGCGCTGTAAATAAAACACAACCTTTTGATTACTATGCATTTTATTAATCAATGTTTGACAGTTTAGTTCGGCTTTCTAAAGCGCTAAAAACACACTGTCAAGTTTACAGAATAAAACTACAGCAGATAATAACAGGACTTTTCTGGACTACAAACATGATTTACTACCAGCTTTAATTCCTCTACCAAGCACATGATTCCAGGAACAGCAGTGCACGGTGTTATAGATATCTAACTTTATATCTTAGGTATAAATATTATGCCAGGTTGGCTTTTCAGGAGGATAACCTCAAGCTGTTTGGGATTAACGGCACTTAAAATAAACATTTAATCATTTATATAAACCTTTATGAGCTTTACTTTCTTCTGTTGAACACAAAACAAGATATTTTAAACAACGCTCGAAAAAACTACCATTGACTTCCACAATAAATGACGAGATGTTCATTTTGGTTGACTGGTCCCCTTAAAAATTTAAATAATAAAGATATTTGCTGGTGTCTATAAAAGAGACCATCATTATATCTTATTATATCGGTTTATATATTGGTCATTTCGAATTTAGTATTATATAGCCACTTATTAATCAGCTGACAGGGTAAAATGATTACTGGATTACATTTTACCAACTAATTTCAGCTCTCAATGTCAAAGCAACTGAGTGACCATTCGACCTTCATCTGTTCAAAGTACAGTAGAATTATTATTATTTCAGCTTTTTAAAGCTGCTGACACAATCTACACAGTTAAAAGCACTATAAAAATTATAATATTAAGAAAATAAGACACATCACTAACTAAATCTGCTCCCAGCAAACAGAACATTCTCCTAATGTTCTCATTATGGTTCCCGTTTGGTTAATTGATTAATACAGTTTTGTGGTTACGTTAACCAAAAACTAACCTTCACAAAACGTTGAAAGGACATTTTTGGTAACAATTTAAAGAGAGCTGTTGCTTTAAAAGCCTTTTCAGGAGGATAACATCGAGCTGTTTGCCATTAAAGAGAGAGTTTAACTAAAAATGAACATTTAATCTTTTACTCAGACATTTAAATAAACTGTTAGCACAAAATAAGATTTTCTGAAGAATTCCATTGAGTTCCAATGTAAATGACTAGGAAATGTTAGTTTTTGTGTGAACTGTCCACTTAAAATAAATAAATTAAAAATTAAAAATTAAATAATAATAATAATAATAATAACAAATAATCATAATAATAATAATAACAAATAATAATAATAACAAATAATAATAATAATATTAATAACAAATAATAATAATAATAATAAACAAATAATAATAATAATAATAATAATAACAAATGATAATAATAATAATAATAATAATAATAAATAAACAAATAATAATAATAATAATAATAATAATAATAATAACTAATAATAATAATAATAATAATAATAATAATAATAACAACAACAACAACAACAATTTTTATTATTAATAATAATAACAACAATAATAATTATAATAATAACAATAAATAATAATAACAACAACGATAAATAACAATGATAATAATAATAATAACAACAATAATAATAATAATAATAAAATAATAATAATAATAATAATAATTAAGTCTCTGAAAGTGCCCATCATTATATAATCAGTTTATGTTAGTCAATAGTTCAAGTTCAGTATTTTAGATCCCTTTATTAATAAATTGACAAGTAATTTAAGATGTTAAAAGATTACTGGAGTACATTTTACAAAACAAAATACAGCTTTTCCATGTCAAAAATTAAGAGTATAAAAAGCAACTTCTGAGTATTACTTGTACTTCATCTATTCTATCAGATAAAGTACATCAGAATTATTATTATTGAAGATTTTTAAAGCTGCTTTGACACAATTTACATAGTTAAAGTTATAAAATAAAATATTAAGAAAATAAAACATATCACTTAAAAATCTGCTCCCAGCACATGGATCTCATTGTAGTTCTCGTTTGGTTACTTATTGATTAATACAGTTTTGTGGTTACGTTAACCAAAAACCAACCTTCACAAAACGCTCAAGGGACATTTTGGAAACAATTTATAGAGAGCTGTTGCTTTAAGAGTCTTGTTCTAGTGGGTCAAACCAAGTAAACATCATCTTATGTACACAATAATCACAGTCGCCAAATTATTAATCTCGGTTGCCATGGTGATTAATATACCGAACACGCGCAACAGATGTTATATGTCGTCAGCACGCAACTTTCTCACACACACACACTGCAGAATCACACACGAACGCATGGACTTCTCACCTGAATGCGCTGGAGAGCGGTCAGATTGACCTCATGGATGAACGGATGAGCGGTTTGTCCTTTATTCTTCAACATCCTCCAAACGCTGCAGAAAAGCGAGGAATACACGCCGGGGAAAGAGCGGATAAAAAGTTAAGATGGCGCTGTCAATAAAACTAAACTTCGCGAGTGCTCGAGTGACACACACACACCCGCGAGCTTATCTGTTAAAATACTGACGTAAAACACAAACTGCGAGGACTTCCAGCCGACACACACAAGCTGAACTCAGACTGAAACTGAAGATGATGAACACGTTTTTATGACCCCGCCCCCCTACATGTAGAGCCATCAATCACACTGACCACGCCCCTTCTAATGCGCATACCTGCTGACCTTGTCGCCAGAAGAGATACAGCCGCGGCCGAAAGTGAACGAGAATTATTTATATTATGAATTAAATCAGCTATTAATTGTATTTTATTATCGTCTATCATTAATCAACCATAACAGTAATGTTAAAAGAGTAATTATACCAAGTATTATTTATATTATTTATTAAATTATGTATTAAATTTTGTTTTATTAAAGCCAACCCCTACACCAACACTGACATTATTGTAAAAATTGTAATTAAACCGGGTATTGTTTATAAAATTACCCATTAATTATTTTTTATTAACATCTAGCCCTAAAAACCCTAAATCCAGGCATCACTGTAATGTAAAACAGTAATTATACTGAGTATTATTCATATAATTTATTATATTATTTATTAAATTGAATTTTATTAACGCCAACCCTAAATTCAGCAATCACAGTAATGTAAAACAGTAATTATAACGAAAATTATGTAAATTATTTATTAAATTACCCATTTTATTAACATCTACCCCTACCCCAACTCTAACCCCAATCACAGCAATGTTAAAACAGTATTTATACCAAGAATTATTTATTAAATTACCATTTAATTGTATTTATGAACGTACCCCTACCCCAATCGTTAACATATCCCTCATAGTCATGTAAAAATATAAATTATTGTACAGTGTCACAGAAAGTATACTATATTGATTTGAGTATCGCAGCTGTATCCCATCTAGACTTCACCCTGACCACGCCCTCTACACGCACAAATTGCAGTTTGGCCACGCCCACATGTCACTCATCGACGCCTTGCCCATTAATACACGCCCAAAGTCTGAAAATAGAAACCAAATAAAAAAAAAATGGTTTCTTTAAAACTGTGCTAAAGTTCATCAGGATAAGAACAGAAATAGAAATATTTGATTTAAGAACACTCCAACTTCCACTCTATGTGAATAAAATATGACCACTTTGCATGTTTAAAGGGACAGTTCACCCAAAAAATTATAACTCTGTCACGTCATTTACTCGTTTCAAACCTTTTATGAGTTTCTTTTTTCTGTTAAACACTGAAGAAGATATTTTGAAGAATGTTGGAAACCTGTAACCATTGACTTTCATTGTATTTTTTTTTCCTACAATGGAAGTTAATGATTACCAGTTTTCAGCTTTCTTGAAAATCTTTTCTTTTATGTTTATGAAGGTTTATAACCACTTGAGGGAAAGTAAATAGTGAATACATTTTCATTTAGGGGTGAACTGTCTCTTTAAACTGGGTTCCTGACTTTTCCTTCAGCTCAGTCCCTTTATTCATCAGGAATGGCCACAGTGGAATGAACCGCCAACTATTCCAGCATATGTTTTACGCAGCGAATGCCCTTCCAGCTGCAAACGAGTACTGGGAAACACCCAAACACTGAGCCACTGTGTCGCCTTGACTTCATTTAAAACTTTTTCATTCATTTTCTTGTCGGCTTAGTCCCTTTATTAATCCTGGGTCGCCACAGCGGAATGAACCGCCAACTTATCCAGCACGTTTTTTACGCAGCGGATGCCCTTCCAGACGCAACCCATCTCTGGGAAACACCCACACACTGAGCCTCCGTGTCGCCTTGACTTCATTTAAAACTCTGTCATTATTTTGATTATGTTTAATGATAACCTGTGAACACACAATGC